AAATATCACTCTGTATTCCATAAATAAGTATAATTATTATGTGTCAACTAAAAATAAAAGGGGGGAAAAAGAAACAAATAGCAGACACATTAAAAAATAAAAATAATAAAAATAAAAGGGGCTCCTAAATGCAGAAAAGTTTTTGATGGGATGATAGCAGTGGGGACATATTTTACGACAGAGAGCTGTTACCTGCAAGGTCTGTACTCTTCACAGGAGCCTGGGTTGTAAATGAAAGAAGAAAGCCTGTCTTACTCAATATTCTATTCATTTAGTGGCCAAGAGCCCAGCATCCATACTGATTGACTTGGCTGAACGACCTTAGACTAAAGCAATCTGAGAAAGTATTAGTAGTAGGAGAGGGGTGATTGACTTGAAAGTATTTGCTATTCTACTGCATTAGTCTTCTCTCTGCCATTCCTCTTGTGAAGGACTGCTAGTCCCTAATGTAGGCCTAAATAGCGATACAAGACTTTTACCTATAGGACAAACTGTAGTTAAAAACTATGCTATGACTGTTCCTCCAAACCCCTGAATATAGATGAGGTATTTTTAAGCACTCATGAATAACCTGCAAAATGTTTTGAAAATAGGTAGAGGTATGTTCAAGTTTCTTGCAAATAGAGCAGGAAATTAACATTAATCGTCTACCTGTAGAGATCAGATTCCAAAAGTGTTAGCTGACGTGCGATTTCTATTGGATGCAGTGTCATGAGATCAAATGTTTCAAACTGTCCTGGTCTGCTGATATGCCATTCAATTGGTGGAGGGGGACTTTCGAAGGTAATATTATGGCTTATTCCATTTGCCTGAGCTTGCTTCTTCCTCTTGATGATCTTAGCTATTGATTCTACCCATTTCTTCATAGCTTTCCCTGGAAAAATAACACATAAACAAAAATGCCTTTTACCTGACAGAGATAACTGCAAATCTTCATATAATCTTTAACCTTCACCTAGCTTCAACAATTATGAATTCATGGCCAATTTTTGTTTCATCTAATCCCACTCATGCCCTCCCTTCACTCGCTAGATTATTCTGAAACAAATTTAAGACATCATATCATTTCATTCATAATTTAATTACGTGTCTCTAAAAGATTCTTTAAAATAATAACCACAATACAATTATCACACACAAAAACTGGTAACTTCTTAATACACTGTATCTTCAAACATTTTGTTAGTGTTCAAATTTCTCTACCTCATAAATGTTTTCTTATAGTTGGTTTGAAAGGAATCTGAACAAGATCCACATACTGCATTTAGTCAGTATGTCTCAAATCTTCTTTAATCTATAGGTTACCTCTTTATGGTTCATTTTTTATTGCAATTTGTTCAAGAAACTCAATCATCTGCCCTGTAGTGTTTTCCAAGTCTATATTTTGCCAATTCCAACTCTGTGGTATCATTAGTCATGTTTCTCTTTCTCCCCTATATTTTCTGTAAATCAGAGACATAAAGATTTGGTCTAATTCAGGATCAATTTTTTGACATGAATACTTGCCAAGAATACTTCTAACAGGAGGCATATGCTGTCCAGTTACCTCTCTTTTTGTGATGTTACACATCCACTTATGATAATTCCCTAGATCTATTATTTCACTAGTAATTCAGAAATGGTGAAATTCTACCAATCCCCTTCACTATAGTATTAGTTGAAATACTTCTACAAAGATAAACTTTATCTCATGAACTATCTGGTTATCCTGAGGTGTAACTTATATAGAAAAGGACTTTAGACATTAACATAACCATTCACTTGATTTATTAATATTTTAATATGTGTGTGCATTTTAGAAGCTTCTTAGATTACCCATATAATCTAGTGTCCTAAGAATATAATTTAAAATTAACTTAGCATTATGAACAATTCTAAACACACATCAGAAAAATTATCTTAAACATCTCAAAGTAGAAACAAAGGAAGGCCAGGCACAGTGGTTCATGTCTGTAATCTCAACACTTTGGGAGGATATGGCAGGAGGGAGGCTGCAGCAAGAGGATCACTCGAGGCCAGGAGTTCAAGAACAGCCTGGGCAACATAGCAAAACCTCATCTCTGCAAAAAATAAGAAAAATTAGCCACCAGGCATGGTGGCACTCGCCTGTAGTCCCAGCTCCTCAGGAGGCTGAGGCATGAGGATCACTTGAGCCCAGGAGTTCGAGGCTGCATTGAGCTGTGATTGCACTACTGCATCCTGGCCTGGGTGACAGAGCAAGACCCTGTCTCAAAAAAAAAAGTGGAAACAAAGGAATCATATTCTCTATCTTAAATAAAATTCCTCTTAAAGAACAAGTAGGACATAAAATAATCTAGGTTTGTTATTTATTTTTTTTTCTTTTAGAGATAGGCAGGGTTCCAAGATGATTGTAAACATGTGAGCTCCTTCGAGTCTATAAAAACCATTCCAAATGTTATTTCAGCTTCTTAAAAATGAAAAATAGTTTAACTTAATTAAAAGTCACACAAATTTGAAATAAACTCATGTGCAACAAAGATTCAATCAAACCTTTAAATAATATACCTCTTACACTTGAAATGAAGGATTCTAGTCTTTCAAGTAATTCCAAATCTCTTTCAAAGTCATAAAAATGGTGTTCAACCCAGTGCCGAAACACATTTAAGATCCTGATAAAATGGAAAGAAACACATTTTAGTGAAAACTAAGCATTCAGTTACACTCCGTTCACTTCTCTAATTCCATGGTGATAGCTTGATATACAGGGGCTAATATAATACTCAATAAATCTCTAATCTATATTTAATTAACACCTTGAGTACTTTAATAATATGAAGAGAGTAGGTTTTCAGACTGCGCATTATTTTAAAATTATACTGTAAAAATATTTATAAGCACAAAAATTGTGGTTTTTGTGCTTATCCATTTATATTAAGGAAAAGTCCCTTTTCTTCATTCATATGTAGAAAATTCATAATCTACAGCACAAAAGCTTTTTAAATTCTTAAATTAAAAACGATTTTTTAACCTAGGAATATATTTAACCAAGAAGGTGAAAAATCTCTACAAGGAAAACTACAGAATACTGATGAAAGAAATCATAGATGACACAAATGGAAAAACATCCCATGCTAATGGATCAGAAGAATTAATATCCTTAAAATGACCATACTTCCAAAAACAATTTACAGATTCAATGCAATCCCTATCAAAACACTAAGGTCATTTTTCACAGAATTAGACAAAAAAAATTCATATGGAACCAAAAAAGAGCCTGAATAGCCAAAGCAATCCTAAGCAAATAGAACAAAGCTGGAGGCATCTCATTGCCTGACTTTAAATTATACTGCAAGGATATAGTAACCAAAACACCATGGTACTGGTATAACAGTGACACATAGATCAATGGAACAGAACAGAGAACCCAGAAACAAAGCCACATACTTCCAGCCAACTGATCTTTGACAAAGTCATCAATAATATACACTGGGGAAAGGACACCCTTTTCAATAAATGGTGCCAAGAAAATGGTATTGTCATATGGGGAAAATGAAACTGGACTACTATCTCTCACCACATACAAAAA